CATGGAAAGGGTGAAAGGTCAAGGTCTTTTCCCCAGGATAGGGAAGTCCAAAACTAGAGGGCATAGGTTTAAGGTGAGGGGGGAAAGATTTAAAAGGGGCCTAAGGGGCAACTTTTTCACACAGAGGGTGATACATAGATAGAATAAGCTGCTAGAGGAAGTAATGGAGGCTGGTACAATTACAATGTTTAAAAGGCATTTGGATGGGTAGTTGAATAGGAAAGGTTTAGAGGGATAATGCTGGAAAATGGGACTACATTAATTTAGGATATCTGGTTGGCATAGATGAGTTAGTCCGACGGATCTGTTTCTGTGCTGTACATCTCTGTGATTCAATGACTCTAAAAGGTAGCATAGTTAGGGGAACAGATACTGTCCTCTGTAGTAAAGACAGAGTGTCTTGACGGTTGCCTACCTGGATGCAAGATTAAGGACATCTCTTCTGGGTGGAGAGGAACTTGGAGTAGGGTGGGGGGTAAGGATCCTCAGTTATTGTGGTACATGTAGGTACCAATGAAATAGGTAGACCTAAGAAAGAGGTCCTGCTGAGAGATTTTGGGTTAAATTGAAAAGCTGAAACAGAATGGTAAGAATCTCCCAGTTACTACAGAGCCACATGTTAATTGACATAGGATAAATAAGGTTAGTGAGTTAACTGCATGAGTCAAATACTGGTGTGGGACAACTGGGTTCTTATTAGTGTGACAGTGACATTAGCACTGGCGATAGAGAGTTAGGATGGGCTTCATTTAAACCATGTTAGGAAAACTGTCATACTGAATAGTATAATGAGCAGTGAAGGTAAGGTTTTAAAATACTTGTAGCGGGGTTCATTTGAAGGGAAGTTTAAAAAATCAAATAGAAACAAGAGAATAGAAGTACAGGGTAGGGAAGAGGTGAATGAAAATGTTTGACAGGAAGGAGTGGTACATAAATACAGAAGTGTGCAGTAACAATTAGAACCGGAGAAAGCAATAATGGTTAAAAAAAATCAAAAAGGTTAAGTCCCTTTCTCTGAATGCTCACTGCATTTGCAACAAGATTAATGAGTTTACAGCAGAAATAGAAATAAATGAATATGTCATGATAGCTATTGCAGAGACATGGTTACAGGGTGACAAAGATTGGGAACTCTATTCGAAGATATTTAATGTTCCAGAAGAATAGGCAAAAAAATATAATTGCTTTGTTAATAAAAGAATGTATCATTGCAGTGGTGAGTGGTTATATAAGTGTAACAAGTCATGAATGGAATCAGCTTCGGTAGAAATAAGGAACAACAAGGGAAAGACGTCATGAGTGGGACTCATCTACAGACCCCCAAAAATTTGTTTCTCTGTAAGACAAAGTATAAATTGGGAAATAGGGAGGTGTGTATGAAGAGCATTACAATAGTCATGGGTGGTTTTAATCTGCATACTGACTGGATAAATTAGATGGTTATGGAAGATTAATTTCTCAAGTGCATCAGGGATTGCTTGTTAGAGCAGTATGTTGCAGAACCTAAACCGGAAAAGGGTATTTTAACTTGAGTAAGATATAATGAGGTAGGCTTAATAAGATATCAGGTAGCTAAGGATACTCATGGGATAATGATCACAACATAGCAGAAAGTCAAAAACAGCTTGAGGGAGAACAACTCAGGTCTCAAACCAAGGTCCTCAACTTAAAATAAGGGCAATTATAGAGCTATGAAGAAAGAGTGGTCTAAAGCAGGCTGGGAAAATAGACCAAGGCTGTCAGTGGATATCAGTGGCTAATGGAATGTTTAGTGTGAGAGGATTTGAGTACAGGATTAATGAATTCTTGCTTCAATTGCCTCAAAGAGTTTGGTTTGACCATACCTGGAGACTGTGCGCAATTATGGTCTCCTTATCTCAGGAAATAAATTATTGCCATCGAGGGAGTACATAGAACATTCATCAGACTTCTTCCTGGGATATAAGGATGGTCCTAGGAAGAGCGATAGGGTCTGTATTCTCCAGGGTTACGAAGAGTGTGAGGTGATCTCATGGAAACTTACAAAACACTTAAAATGATAGACAGGGTAGAGGCAGGTAAGTTCTTTCTCCTCATTCAGGAGTCTAGAACCAGAGGCACAATTTAATATTAAGGGGGATGACACTTAGATCTGAGATGAGGAAAAATCTTTCCATTCAGATAGTTGTGAACCTTTGGAATTCTCTACCACAGTGAGCTGTAGAAGCTCAGTCTTTGAGTGTGTTTAAGGCAGAGTTTGATAGATTTCTGATTACCAGGGCATATAGGGTTAAGGGAATAGAATGGGTAAAGGGCAGTGAAGTTTTCAATGATACCATGATCGTATTGAATGGCACAGCAAACTTGCTGGGCACAATGGACTACTGCTGTTTCTATGTTCCTACGCCATTCACACCTCCTCCATACACATCCTTTGTTTCATTTCTTGTCCTGTTATTTCATTTCAGCCTCACACTATCAATCTTCTTGTCTCTTAATCTAAAGAAGGGTCCTGATAAAAGGTCCTGATCAAATTGAAACACTAACTCTGTTTATCTCTCCACATATTCTCCCAGAACTGCTGAGTATTTCCGAGACAACAAGGTGCAGAGCTGGATGAACACAGCAGGCCAGCAGCATCACAGGAGCAGAAAGGCTGACGCTTCGGGCCTACTGAGTATTTCCAACATTTTCTGTTTTCTGTTCCAGATTTTCTGCAATTGTTTTCTACAACCTTTGAGCTGCAGGTAAGGGCATCATCTTTTTGTCAATGTTTAGAAGGAGAACAAAAATAAGGGAGGAAAAGTTCAATGAACAGTATTAAAATTGTAAAGTGTTATAATAATTATTAAAGAATGCAAGGATTCTCATATTTTTATTGTGAGGGTGTTTAATCTATAGGGATTTTGAAAAGTTATTCAATTTTCTCAAATCTTGCATCTTCTGTGTTCATTTTACAGGTTTGTTAATGTTTGAAAACCTGTCCAACTGCTTTTAGTTTACCATGAAATCAATTTTCAGAAATGCCATGTAAATTGATCCACAACTTACAAAGGCTGTTGCATGTGTTGTTCTCTGTGATCATGCTGCCTGTTATGGCTATGATTTATTATTGAACTCATCAAAGAAAATCTTATGTTTTCTATGCAACAGTGAACCTACATATTAAAATCAAAGTCATCACTGGGTTAGTAATCTCAGGAACAATATAGATAATAACACTCAGAAGAGAAAAACAAACTACCTTGCATTTTGTATAGCTGCTAATCACATCAATGAAACATCCCAAATTTTTACACACAATTATTTTTCTGGAAAGTAATAGTGGTTATGGGGAAACTATTATCTGCTAGCCCACAAACACGAATAAAAGGAATAATTTGCTATTTTCTGGGATTTATTTTTGTTCTCCTGAGGAACAAAACAAGAAAATCATCAGGTGAACTCCCTGTACTTAAAGTGTCCACCTGAATTGTGAATGGGACCTCAGTTAAAGTAATGAGGGGTAATACCATTGAAAATGCCCTCTCTATGCTGTAGGCAAATATCAGTCAAGGTTATGAGCTCAAGATCCATAGGTAATTATTTGGTAGGTCTGATAGGAGATTGGAGTCTACAATGTATCTTGGATGTTTATTCAGTGTCTATAAATCAGGCTACCTGTGTAATTCTACAATTATTTCAATTTTCAGGAGTAAACCTGCCTGTTTGCTCCTTGTAGAGTAATGTACACTACAACAGTGAAGCAAGAGTGAACATTCTTCAGTATTGTTATGCTTCAGGGCATTAAAAATTTAAATTTACAATGTTCAAAAATGCTTAAGCTGCCAGAGGAAGTGGTAGAAGTGAATACAAATACAATATTTAAAAGATATTTGGACTGGTGCAAAGGAAAGGTTTAGAGGGATGTGAGACAAATGCAGGCAAGTGGGACTAGCTCAATTTAGGAAACCTGGTCAGCATGGACGAGTTGTGCCAAAGGGCCTGTTTCTTGGCTGTTTGCCTCTGAATTCTTTGACTTTTTCATTTGGCGAATGATGACATGCCAAGCTAAAAGATGTTCTGCAGTCATAAGCGTTTGTCAATTTAGTGTGGGAAGTTATTTGCTAATTTTTTTCCAGATAATATCCTTTACCTCCCAAGGTGTTCTCTACCTTGATTTCTATCCTTTAAGCCTTTGTTTTGTCTATTTCTGTCTTGTGCAGATATTATTGTTCATACTGTTAGGGGCAGGGTGTAGCACTTCTGTGTCAGAAAGCTGGAAAGCTTCCAGGATGTTTTACTGTCATATAACGTGGTGGTGATGTCCAGATACGAGAGAAACTACTGGAAAAACTAACCAAACTGACAGCATTTGACAATGGCTTGATGAATCTAAGATTCCACACTCTAATTCTTTATTCACAATTTTTTCACAATTCTTGAGGGAATGGTTGAAACTCAGGGACTTAGTCGGGCAAGATGGAATTTTTCGGTGGTGACCTGACTACATTGTCTCCTTGTTCCCTTCTTGTAAAGATCCAGAATGTTACCTGTACATTTTCAAAGGACTGCACTGAGCTCATCTTCTTGCACAGTCCCAATGAACATGAGACTAAAACTCAAGAAATTGCTGCCCACCCATTGCCCCAATACTGAGCTCAACCACTTCAGCCCCAAACCACCCTTCCCAATGTCACCAAGTAGCACTTTCTGCAGTAATCCATGACACCTCAGATCCATCCTTCCATTTCTTCAACGTCCCATCACCTTTATCATCCCTTTTGTAATTTAACCATTCCTGCTCTTTACAGACCTCTCCTTTTATTCTTTCCTCCCCTCCTCTCCCCACTTTTCCTGCTTCTGTCTTTTTTTTTCTGCATTGTTAAACCTGCTTTACGGTCCGGATGAAAGGTTATCAAGCTGAAATATCAATTCTGCTTCTCCCTCCACAATGCTGCCTAGTCGACCAAGTGTTTACAGCAATCTCTATTCTTAGTTCCTTTGAAATAAGCTAGGAATACAACAAAAAGCTAACTTACCAAGAACGAAAGCAGCTACATAATGTGCGATATCTCCAACACCACCAAAAAAGTACAGCACGCAGAACATTTCCCAACTCTGAGAGGTCAGCTGAATTAAGCTTAAGATTGTCTGTAAGGCTACGCCTCCAAAGAGAACAACTTTTCTTCCATACCTGAAAAGAACAAGCATGTAATAATTTCAAAATGATGCTACAGCCTTTCTTTCATGCCTTTGCATGACAAACCCGATGTACCTAACATCAATATATGAACATATAATTATACAAATAAGGAGCTGGAGTGAACCATTCAGCCATTTAATGAGATCATGACTGATTAGATTTAACATCAAATACACATTCCAAAAGGCTCCAATAACCTTTCAGTCCATTGCTTACCAATTGTCAACATGGCTGCTGCTGTTCTAGAACATAGAACATAGAACATTACAGTGCAGTACCGGCCCTTCGGCCCTCGATGTTGCGCCGACCTGTGAAACCAATCTGAAGCCCATCTAACCTAAACTATTCCATTATCATCCATATGTTTATCCAATGACCATTTAAATGCCCTTAAAGTGGGCGAGTCTACTATTTTTGCAGGCAGGGCATTCCACGCCCTTACTGCTCTCTGAGTAAAGAACCTACCTCTGACATCTGTCCTATATCTATCACCCCTCAATTTAAAGCTATGTCCCCTCGTGCTAGCCATCACCATCCGAGGAAAAAGGCTCCCACTGTCCACCCTATCTAATCCTCTGATCATCTTGTATGTCTCTATCAAGTCACCTCTTAACCTTCTTCTCTCTAACGAAAACAGCCTCAAGACCCTCAGCCTTTCCTCATAAGACCTTCCCTCCATACCAGGCAACATCCTGGTAAATCTCCTCTGCACCCTTTCCAATGCTTCCACATCCTTCCTATAATGCGGTGACCAGAACTGTACGCAATACTCCAAGTGCGGCCGCACCAGAGTTTTGTACAGCTGCAACATGACCTCATGGCTCCGAAACTCAATCCCTCTACCAATAAAACCTAACGTACTGTACGCCTTCTTAACAACGCTAGCAACCTGGGTGGCAACTTTCAGTGATCTATGCACATGGACACCGAGATCTTTCTGCTCATCCACACTACCAAGAATCTTACCATTAGCCCAGTACTCTGTATTCCTGTTACTCCTTCCAAAGTGAATCACCTCACACTTTTCCGCATTAAACTCCATTTGCCACCTCTCAGCCCAGCTCTGCAGCTTATCTATGTCCCTCTGTAACCTGCAACATCCTTCCGCACTATCCACAACTCCATCGACTTTGGTGTCATCCGCAAATTTACTAACCCATCCTTCTACGCCCTCATCCAGGTCATTTATAAAAATGACAAACAGCAGTGGCCCCAAAACAGATCCTTGAGGTGCACCACTAGTAACTGAACTCCAGGATGAACATTTCCCATCAACCACCACCCTCTGTCTTCTTACAGCTAGCCAATTTCTGATTCAAACCGCTAAATCACCCTCAATCCCATGCCTCTGTATTTTCTGCAATAGCCTACCATGGGAAACCTTATCAAATGCTTTACTGAAATCCATATACACCACATCAACCGCTTTACCCTCATCCACCTGTTTGGTCACCTTCTCAAAGAACTCAATAAGGTTTGTGAGGCACGACCTACCCTTCACAAAACCGTGTTGACTATCCCTAATCAAATTATTCCTTTCGAGACGATTATAAATCCTATCTCTTATAATCCTTTCCAACATTTTACCCACAACCGAAGTGAGGCTCATTGGTCTATAATTACCAGGGTTGTCTCTACTCCCCTTCTTGAACAAGGGGACAACATTTGCTATCCTCCAGTCTTCTGGCACTATTCCTGAAGACAATGACGACATAAAGATCAAAGCCAAAGGCTCTGCAATCTCCTCTCTAGCTTCCCAGATAATCCTAGGATAAATCCCATCCGGCCCAGGGGACTTATCTATTTTCACACCTTCCAGAATTGCTAACACCTCCTCCTTATGAACCTCAATCCCGTCTAGTCTAATAGACTGTATCTCAGTATTCTCCTCGACTACATTGTCTTTTCCCTGCGTGAATACTGACGAAAAATATTCATTTAGCACCTCTCCTATCTCTTCGGACTCCATGCACAACTTCCCACTTCTGTCCTTGACCGGCCCCAATCTTACTCTAGTCATTCTTTTATTCCTGACATACCTATAGAAAGCTTTAGGGTTTTCCTTGATCCTACCTGCTAAAGACTTCTCATGTCCCCTCCTGGCTCTTCTTAGCTCTCTCTTTAAGTCCTTCCTGGCTAACTTGTAACTCTCAAGCGCCCTAACTAAGCCTTCACGCCTCATCTCTACATAAGCCTCCTTCTTCCTCTTGACAAGAGATTCAACTTCTTTAGTAAACCACGGTTCCCTCGCTCGACCACTTCCTCCCTGCCTGACAGGTACATACTTCTCAAGGACACGCTGTAGCTGTTCCTTGAACAGGCTCCACATTTCAATTGTGCCCAGCCCCTGCAGTTTCCTTCTCCATCCTATGCATCCTAAATCTTGCCTCATCGCCTCATAGTTGCCTTTCCCCCAGCTATAACTCTTGCCCTGCGGTATATACCGATCCCTTTCCATCGCTAAAGTAAACGTAACCGAATTGTGGTCACTATCACCAAAGTGCTCACCTACCTCCAAATCTAACACCTGGCCTGGTTCATTACCCAGTACCAAATCCAATGTGGCCTCGCCTCTTGTTGGCCTATCTACATACTGTGTCAGGAAACCCTCCTGCACACATTGGACAAAAACTGACCCATCTGAAGTACTCGAACTATAGCGTTTCCAGTCAATATTTGGAAAGTTAAAGTCCCCCATAACAACTACCCTGTTACTTTCGCTCCTATCCAGAATCATCTTTGCAATCTTTTCCTCTACATCTCTGGAACTTTTCGGAGGCCTATAGAAAACTCCCAACAGGGTGACCTCTCCTTTCCTGGTTCTAACCTCAGCCCATACTACCTCAGTAGACGAGTTGTCATCAAACGTCCTTTCTGCCACCGTAATACTGTCCTTGACTAACAATGCCACACCTCCCCTTCTTTTACCACCTTCCCTGATCTTACTGAAACATCTAAACCCCGGAACCTGCAACAACCATTCCTGTCCCTGCTCTATCCATGTCTCCAAAATGGCCACAACATCGAAGTCCCAGGTACCAACCCATGCTGCAAGTTCACCCACCTTATTCCGGATGCTCCTGGCATTGAAGTAGACACACTTCAAACCACCTTCCTGCCTGCCGGTACATTCCTGCGACCTTGAAACCTTATTTATGACCTCACTACTCTCAACCTCCTGTACACTGGAGCTACAATTCAGGTTCCCATTCCCCTGTTGAATTAGTTTAAACCCTCCCGAAGAGCATTAGCAAATTTCCCCCCCAGGATATTGGTACTCCTCTGGTTCAGGTGTAGACCATCCCGTTTGTAGAGGTCCCACCTACCCCAGAATGAGCCCCAATTATCCAGGTATCTGAATCCCTCCCTCCTGCACCATTCCTGTAGCCACGTGTTCAACTGCTCTCTCTCCCTATTCCTCGCCTCGCTAGCACGTGGCACGGGTAACAAACCAGAGATAACAACTCTGTTTGTTCTAGCTCTAAGCTTCCACCCTAGCTCCTTGAATTTCTGCCTTACGTCCTCATCCCTTTTCCTACCTATGTCGTTGGTGCCTATGTGGACCACGACTTGGGGCTGCTCCCCCTCCCCCTCCCCCTTAAGGATCCCGAAAACACGATCCGAGACATCACGGACCCTGGCACCTGGGAGGCAACACACCAACCGCGAGTCTCTCTCGTTCCCACAGAATCTCCTATCTGTCCCCCTAACTATGGAGTGCCCAATGACTAATGCTCTTCTCCTCTCCCCCCTTCCCTTCTGAGCAACAGGGACAGACTCTGTGCCAGAGACTTGTACCCCATGGCTTACCCCTGGTAAGTCATCCCCCCCAACAGTATCCAAAACGGTATACTTGTTTTTGAGGGGAATGGCCACAGGGGATCCCTGCACTGTCTGCCTGTTCCCTTTCCGTCCCCTGACTGTAACCCATCTACTTTTTTCCTGTACCTGAGGTGTGACTACCTCCCCGTAACTCCTCTCAATTACCCCCTCAGCCTACCGAATGATCCGAAGTTCATCCAGCTCCAGCTCCAGTTCCCTAACACGGTTTCCGAGGAGCTGGAGTTGGGTGCATTTCCCGCAGATGAAGTCAGTGGGGACACTAGTGGTGACCCTTACCTCCCACATTCTACAGGAGGAGCATACAACTGCCCTAACATCCATTCCCACTGTTCTGAATTCCCAAACAGACAAATAAAAAAAAAACTAGTAGCCTTACCAGATCAGTGCTCAGAACCTTTTTTTTTGGTTAGAGGAGGAGGATGGGTGGGAGACACTACCTAGGTAGTGTTTCGGGTAAAGCAACCGCCCAAATATATTACCTCACTTACTCCAAAAATGGAGTCACGCGAGGTAAGACTTTTATAATCGAAAAGCTCACCTTCCCAGGCTGCCCTCGCACTTCCTCCCGGACTCCCGCCGCTGAAACAACTGATTGGAGGATCTGAAACTGAGACTTTGTGCATTAAGACTGGGGTCAAACATTGCTGTATGACTGCCCCCTCCTTTTTCATCATCTAAGATTGGATGTCATGATCCAACATCCTCATATATCTCATGGATATATACAACACAGCAGGAGGTCATATGGCCCATTGTGTCCACCTTGGTCAACAAAAATCTGGCTACTCTCATCCCATTTTCCAGCCCTTGGTCTATAGCCCTCAAGGCTATGTCAAGTGAATATCTAAAAACTGCATAAATGTTAGAAGAGTTTCTGATTCAACCATCCCTTCAGACAGGTGTTCCAAACTCCCACTGCCCACTGACTGAAGTAAATTCCTCTTAGCTTTCTACCTCTCACCTTACATCTATACCCCCGGTAACTGACTCTTCTAAAAATGGAAAAAGTGCTTCCTATCCATCCTCACAATCTTATACATCATTGCTTGGTTCCCTCTCACCATTCACAGCCCCTGGGAAAACAACACTGACCTATTTAAGCTTCCCTCCTGACTCAGAGTCTCCAGCCCAGGCACAAATCTTCTCTGCACCCTCTCTTTTGCACACAGATTATTTTCATAATGTGGCGACCAGAATTGTATGCAGCACACCAGTTGGGGCCTAAACAGCATTTTATACAATTCCAGCTCCTTGTTCTTGTGTTCTATGCCTTAGCTGATAAAGGCAAACATTCCATATACCTTTTTTAACCAACTTATTTCCATGCCCTTTTTTTTTCTGATGAAGGGTCTAGGCCCGAAACGTCAGCCTTTCTGCTCCTATGATGCCGCTTGGCCTGCTGTGTTCATCCAGCCCTGCACCTTGTTGTCTCAGATTCTCCAGCATCTGCAGTTCCTACTATCTCTATTTCCATGTCCTAATACTTTAGGAATTGTGGATATGTACATTAAAGTCCCTCTGATCTTCAATACTATTCATAGTGTAATCCCTTGCCTTGTTACCCCTCCACAATATCATTACCTCACACTTTTCTAGGTCAAATTCCATTTGCCACTGCTCTGCCCACTCAACCAGTCCACTGATATCCTTCTACAGTTTGCGCCTTTCCTCCTCATTGTTTACCTTGCTACCAAATTTCATGGTATCAATGAACTTTTTGATCACAACCTCTACATTTCAGGCCAAATTATTAATGTACACCACAAACAGTAAGGGCCCCAGCACCAAGTCCTGCAGAACTGCACACAAAACAGTCTTCCAGTCATAGAAACTCTGTCATCACCCTCTGTTTCCTATCTCTCAGCCAACTTTGAATCCAATGTGCCATTTTTCCCTCAGATCTCATGGGCCCTTCATTTTGTCACCAGTCTGGAATAGAACCATAGACTCCCTACAGTGTGGCCGTTTAGCCTATCAAATCCACACTGACCCCCTGCAGAGCATCCCATCCAGAATAAGCCCCCATCCTATCCCTATAACTCTGCATTTTCCCTGGCATAATCCACCTAGCCTACACATCCCTGAACACTACAGGCAATTTAGAATGGCTAATCCACCCAACCTGCACTTGGATTGTGGGAGGAAACCCGAGCACCTGGCTGAAACCTACCCAGACACAGGGAGAACATGCAACCTCCACACAGACAGTCAGCTGAGGCCGGAATCAAACCTGGGTCCCTGGTGCTGTGAGGCAGCAGCATTAACCACTGAGCCACCATGCAGCCCCACGAGGCATGAGGCACCTTATCAAAAGCCTCGCTAAAGGCCAGGTAGATCACATCAAATGTATAACCCTCATCAATATTGTTGAATCCTGTACCTGTCTGAAAGTTGTCCTGAAATAATCGAGCCACACAATACTCCCAGGAAAAAGATTGATGTGGTAAATGGTCCTTTCCAGCCATTGTCGCACACCAAGTCCCACTGCAGGGAAGAATAAACATCATCAAAGATATCAATACAAAGATTTTGTTTTAAATTTCAGGATGTGGCCACGATACATCTGTAAAACCCTTATGCAATAACCTAATTTTGATTAATTTTTTGAAACAATTGCAGGAGATTTTTTCCAGTGTCATTTAGAGGTGAAATATATATTTGTCAAAGAATAGAGGTGTCTGTCACATTATGCATTATGTATTAATCTTCCTCAAAAGGTAGAGCTGGGCCTATATGAAACAACCTGAATAGACAATAAAGTTGCTACTTACGTATCATGTGTGATTCTGCTCACCCTCAGGATGTAATTTGCATTAGTGAGTATATCGAGGAAATCCAGTTCTGAGGAAAGATTGGATAGGCTGGGGTCACTCTCTTTGGTTCAGAGGTATGTGAGGGGAGGTTTGATTGTGATGTAAAAAATTATGAGGGCCCTGCATAGAGTAAATAGCAAGGACTATTTGCCTTAGAGAAGTCAATTAATAGGGGGCATAGATTTAAGGGTTTGACAGAAAGATTTGAGGGGAGAGGAGGAATTTCGCTGCTCATCCACCAGCCTGCTTAAGTCTTTTAGAAGTTCATCAGTTTCCTTCTAACAGTTCACAATACTTTGATGTTTTATATCTAAACATTTGGAAATATTGCCAAATCTACGCCAATAATATAAATCAAGAAAACCAGTAGTTGACATACAAACCCCTAGGTAACTCTACCATATGGTTTCCTTGAGACTGAAAAGCAACCATTCGTTGCCACTCTTGGTTTTCTGTTACTTAGCCAACTTCATACCGATACTACTGTGGTCCCATTTATCCCACGTATTTCAAATTTTCTGGTAAGTCTACTATGTAACACATTATGATCCAAAAGAGCCAAATTCACTGAACGACCATAATAAGAAAACCAACGGACAAGATTTTACTTTTAACAATCAAACCAAAACCAGTGGGATAATAATCAAGAGCTTCAGGCTAATGTTCTGGGGACATGGGCTCAAATCCTAACATGGCAATTGGTGAAATTTGAATTCAATTAAAAAACACCTGAAATTTAAAACGAGTGTAATGGTAACCACTGTTGCTTATGTAAAAACCCATCTGGTTCACTAATGTCCTTCAGGAAGGGAAATGTGCCATCCTTACCTGGTCTGGCCTACACGTGACTCCAGAGTCACAGCAATGTGGTTAACACTTATCTGCCCTCTGAAATGCTTTAGCTGGCCATGTAGTTCAAGGCCAATAAAGGATGGGCAGTAAATGCTGACCTTGTCAGTGACGCACACATCCCACATATGAATGAGAAAAACACAAATTAAACATGAGCTAACTGACACATTACAGTCAAGAGAAACTCTAAATTACAAATTATCAGACCAATGATGAATTGTGCAGAACTACTGGGCAGTCCACTTGGCATATTTGGCATTAATTGTAGCCACAAAAACTTTCAAAGTCCCGAAACTTTTCATGCAGAATTCCACCATCTGTTCTTTCAGTCACATTTTCCCCAACTTGAATGACTTAAGCAGGGGATTTTCCACTGATCCCACCTCCAAAGATTGTAAAGATGGGGCAGAATCTTACAAGGCTCTGAGTGACATACGCTATGGCGAGGTGAGTTGTAGAATCGGGCAAGATGGTCACCTTGACATCGAGATCATCTTGTCACAACGTCCTCGCTTTACCCCAACAGTGTGGTGGGAAACCCAGCAGAAAGCTGCAGGTTCCCAGTTGAAGCTCTTTATTGTTTGTTAAGTAACTTCATTAACACCTCAACTCACTGCGGGTTACACTCTGACTAAACTCACCATACAAACCAGCTGTCAGCAAAACCCAATATGGAAACAAGAGTGAAGGGCTCTTGTGGCACAAGCCACATATACACCCTGCATCCACAGACAATGGCATGCCCAACATTTGCCAGCATCTAAGAACCCTCATGGTACACCTTTGATCCACTCACTGGATACTTCTGCAGCTCGGAGCTTCACCTTGGGCTGCCCTAGTGATTATCATTGTACAATGCAGCGAGGGCACTGTGCAGTCAGGGACATGCACCCAGCTCATGGACTGCACCAGGCTGCACCTGTCTGGCTTTTTCACTCACTGTAATAGCACTAATGCACACTGAGCCTACCTGGATGCCTATAGCATGCCTGCCTTACCTTGTCTTGCCTTTCACACCCTCAGCCAGAGTTATCTGGCTCATATTACTACTGTTTTGCCATGCTATTTAGCACAGAGACAAAACCAGGAAACTTGTCATTGTTTTAGCAGGCCTTCGAGCAGTCAAAGTGGATAACCTTTGCTCAGGGATCCAGCTCAGTAAGTGTAGGCAGGGATAGGGAATGACCTATTAATCCAGCGACCCAGATAATGTTCTGGTGTCCTGGCGTTGAATCCTGGTGCAGCAAACAGTGGAATTTAAATTCAATAATAATTTGGAAATAAGAGTTTAAAGATGACCATGAAACCATTGCTCATCGTCGTGGAAAAGCCCATCTGATTCATTAATGTCCTTTAGGGAAGGAAACTGCCATCCTTACCTGGTCTGGAGTACATGTGACTCCAGACCCACAGCAATGTAGTTGATTCTTAACTGCCCTTTGGGCAATAAATGCTGACATTGCCGGTGATTGGCCACATCCTGTGAATGAATGAGAAAAAGGTCAAGGGCAGTCTCCAGGACTGGTCCGGGCCTGGAGACAGGAGGTTTAGAGGAGACATGAGGAAAAACTGTTTTCTCCCTGAGGGTGGTGGATATCTGGAATTCACTGGCTGATGGGGTGATAGGTGCCATAATATTTAAGAAGTATTTAGATGTGCATTTATGATGCCAAGGCATATAAGGCTATTGGCCAAGTGCTGGAAACTGGGATAGTTAGATGCTTGTTTTTGACTGACATAGACTTGCTGGGCCAAAGGGCCTCTTTTCTGTGGTGTAGATTCTATGACTCGATGGGCCTGCTCATGGAAGTTGGGGGTCAGGATCCTCTGCTAGTTTGGGCTGTTTTGGGCTTGGAATGAGAAAGGCAGGTGTAATGGGAAATGAAAGTGGGTGGCACCACTGTTACTGTCTCATTGTCCTCAGAGAGAGTGAGTAGACAGCACAGAGGACGTGCAGGGTCAGTGGTGTCACAGTTCAGGGTGGGTGATGGTGAATGGGGGAGATGTTGCAGGCTTAGTAAGAGTGATAGAGCATGAACTTTGGTGGGAGGTGGGTACAGGAACAGAGGTAGAGTGTGAGGTTTCGGAGATCAATGTTGGCACTTTACTGGCCAAATGGTGAAGGGCACTGGCCTCCTTCCTACAGTGCTGGGTATTCCTCCAGGCGACTGAGACTGCGCTAACCCAGTGGCAACCCAGGACTAGGCTGGCATGGTTCAGTGTTGTGGCCTCCCTTACTAGACCTGGGGATGAGGATATCTTGGATCTGCACCTCCCCGACCAGCAGGATCTCCTGGATCATTCCTGCAAGGTGGGATGAAGCTATCCCCTGTTCGCCAGATCCAGGACAGATGTCAGGAACTGTGCAGGGCATCTCTAGGCTGGGTATACAATGGGTTTTTAAATATGGCGCCAGAGCCAGGGATGCCAACCAATTCCGGGATCTCCAGTGAGTGACGAGTTGGTCTGGAAGTGCACATGATAAGAAAGCGTGGAAATAGGGAGTGGTTTTTGCTGCAGGCACTCAAACAGCAATTAAAGGGATGAGTTTGGTGAGATACAGCAAGAAAACTCAGTCTCACAGTGAGAATGAATCCACTAAACTCAATGTAACTCACACTTAGCCAAAAAATTTTTATTGAGAAAATATTCTTTGTTCGTAAAAATGTTTATCTACATTCACAGGTGCTAAAGCAACTCTGTACAGCATTTGCGGATCAGGAGAAACAAACATTGGAATTTGATATACCAAGCAGGTGTAAAAACTAAAGATATTTCTAACTCATGCAGGACATTATTTCCATACAATGAGGCAATGGGAGAAGCTGATAATTGAACAGACTCTCTTTATACTTTGGTAAAAAGACCTTATATGCTGCTCTTTCCCCACTGCACCTTGGCAGCAGATGCCCCAAGCTTTAGTGCATCCCCCAGCACGAAGCCCTGGGCATTGGAATGTGCCAGTCTGCAACACTCAGTCAAGGTCAACTCTTTATACTGGAAGACCAACAAGTTTTGAGCAGACCAAAGAGAAATTTTCACCAAGGTGATGGTCTTCTAAGTGCAGTCGACGTTTGTCTCATTGTGCATCCCTGGAAAACATCGACCCCCATCGTCGGCAGCAGGAGTAGGTTCCGCATTCTTTTCTGGAGATCAGCACTTAGACAAAAATGGTAAGATTCAGTCCATTATCTTTCTAATTTCCTATATTTTTGATTGTAGACTGAAATGGGAAAATAACTGTCTTAAAAATCCGTAATTGTGATTGCAGTCCTTTTTCAAAAGCAAGCTGCCAGCATTTATTGTAAGTGCTGTTTACACTGTTGATTGTTCAATCAGTAGGGGAAGCTCAGTTGCAGACAAAGTGTACACACCCCTTAGTGCCAAGGTGAGATTCAGCCGGCAACAAGTAGCTGATTGGTCTGTGGGATAGCAACCAATTTTCAATGACAAAGGCCATCTGCCTGACAATAACTATGTGATTGGTTGCTAGGTAACTAAAAAGGTTTTGAGTGTGAATTACACAGCCAGAAGTCTTCAGACATCTGGAAAGGGTGATGGTCTCTGTCTGCAGTAAAAAAAAGCCTGATGAAAGCCAGTTTATTCTCTCTGAACACTTGCTGTAAACTGTGGCTTTTAACCAATCAGTTGGAGAACCAGTCACCCCATACCTCCTGTAAACAGATGAAAGTTCTGTCATGGGGCAGCATGCTGGAAATCAAACCCTGCAAACCTTGGAGTCACAACAAAACGTAAAGGTCCCAAAGATAAGTATACAAAATTCCTCAAGTTACCTGATTTTCAGGTTGATAGAAAGCA